CCTTGCTTGGGTCCTACTGAGAGCCCAGAATCAAAACATGCAGCTCCAGCTGAAGCGGCCTTGGGGGTGGCAGGCAGCCTCAAGCAGTCTTCACTAGAGATTCCGCTTGGGCTGCATGACGCATTGCCTGGGTACCCCCTGCCCCCACCCAGATGCCCTCACCTCCCCCAAGCGTTTTTTTTACTCACCTGCTTTCAGCAGCATTCCCTTTCTCCTGTCCTTCTCAGCCTTCATGTGTTTGTGAGACAAAAAAAAGTTCCATGAGACTTTCTAACTTCTCGCGAGAAGTTAGAAAATCTCATGGAACTTTTTTTTTCTTTTTTACCCACAAACACGTGGCGAAGGCAGAGAAGCAAAAGGCGAAAGGGAGTGCAGCTGAAAGCAGTTGAGTAAAAAAATACTTGGGAGAGGCAAGGGCATTTGGGTGGGGATGCCAACCTTACCCTGCATGGTGGCGGGAGGGTTAACAGTGGGTGCGGGGGGCCCAGGAGGAGGCAAAGCAGGCAGAAGGGAGGCCAGGCAGATTGCGGTCCTGCCCATTTCACTTGCTTGCTGAAACAAAATTCAGAAGACTAGGAAAGGCGTCAAAAGCTGTTGATAGAAAGCAAGCGGAAAGCAAGCAAGTGAGCTGGGCAGGACCGTGGAATCGGCATTTCTGAGCACATGCCAATTCGCGCCCCTGCCCATCTCGCTCGCTTGCAGGGCTCCTGACCAACCTTCACTGGACGGGAGCGGGGAGGGCATAAAAGAGCCCGGAGGAGGCAATTGGAGTTTGGCCGCCGCTGACGCCACCACCGCTGTTGCTGAGCCAGATGGCTATGGGACGGCAGCTGCTGCAGTTCCTGCCCACTGCTTCTTCTCGGCTGCTTCTTCTGAAAAGGAGCGGTGGTTGCGCTCGGTGCAGCCGGAAGCCCAGCACAGCCGCTGTTCTTCCGCAGGGGGAGGAGAGCGCAGGCAGCAGAGGAGAGCACGGGGGCAAGGAAAGAGCTGCGGCTGCCGGACCCCCTCTGGTGCATTGCACATGGCCACAGCCGGAAAAAAGCAGCAAGCATTGCTGTAACCAGCCCCGAGGAAGAGCCCGCACAACTCGCAGGTGAATCCCGCCTGGCTGCATTCTTTGCGGCCGAAAGAAGGGCTTTGATCCCACTTCCCCTTCACTCTAGCCAGGTCCATGAATGCCAGATCTAACCCCAAGGCAATTCGAAAGGCCAGCAGGTTGGCTGGGAGTTTTGGGGTGGAGACATGTGAGCCTTCCTCCGTCTTCTTGAATCTGGCAAGGATCTGGGAAGGAGACGGGAAGGAAGGAAGGAAGGAAAGAAAGAAGGAAGGGACAATGGGAGAGAGGGAGGGAACGAAGGCACCCACCCCAGTCCCACCCCCCACCACCAGAGACCCACGGATTCCCCTCCCCACAGGCACCCCGCAACCTAAGTGATGAGCTGGCCACGCCCCCCAGGCATTGACTTCTCTTGTCAAAAAGTTGCAAAAGGTGATCACATGACCCTGGGACACTGTGAACGTCATAAGTATGAATCAGTTGCCAAGCATCCGAATGTAAATGGTCATAAGTCACTTTTTTCAGTGCCATTGTAACTTTGAACAGTCACTAAGTGAATTGTAAGTTGAGGACTACCTGTAGTTTATCATTTTTTTCCTTTTGGGGGAGGTCAAGTTTTTGACACCTTGCTGGGCAACTGTGGTACTCGGATGTTGCCTTATCCTAAAAGTGGTACAATAGGTGAAAAGGTTGAAAAGCCCTGGTCTAGAGCCAATTGATTTTGATAAATAGCAGTTCTTACCTGAGAATTTGTTTTTGCCAGCATATTAAGGGCGGAAGAAGTTTCATTAGTAATAATCTCCAAAATAGCTTCTAATCTAATGATTCTATTTAGCATATAGATAGGAGTTTGGTATCCCACATACCATCATTGGCCCAGACTGCAGGACCATAGACTTGAATGATCCTTTCAGGGGGCCATTCCTTATCCTTTTCCCAGTTACCTATACCAGGGCTTTTCAACCTTTTCATGTATGTATCTTTATTTCTAGTGTATATTTGCAGATATAGTGTAATGTAAACCACTATTTAATTACAAACTACTGCTTACTGTATTTACTCCTGGATTACTTCAGAGCAATAAGACTGTGTATGCTCTGACAAAAGCTGTCTTTTAATTCAGATGCCTCGTGTTCAGAGTCTCGTTGGGATTTATTTGGATTCTGAGCTGAAAAACCTTACATGGTGTTCTATTGAAATGAATATTTTTAAAATAGCTATACATTAGCTTAGATAATAACTGATTAAAAGCACAGCTAATTTACTCCTTTGGAACAAAACGTAATCTGGTAGAAAGGTTGATTTTGTGCCATCTAGATTGGTGTTACTAAGAGTTTCCCAAATCACCTCAAAGGCAGACTCACATAAAACATCTTCTGTTACTGTATCTTTTTCACTTTAGAATACTTTCATGAGATCTGGCCTGCTCATTTGCATTGTAAAAAAATTAGAAAATAATGATGCTGAAATTATACCAATTTCCAAAGTTCATAATATAGCAAAACCTCTGTTTAATGGACCATTCAGTAGAAGCAAGATATTCATTAAATCCAAATGTCCATTAATTCTGCATTAACATTATTTCATCAATGAATATATATAACATGTAAGCCATGTACTTGTTATAAATGGCACCTTTTGTAGTAAAGCTTTGATTTAACAACACTCTCCATGAGGGACCAGTTAAGCCAAGGTCACTTCATATTTGGGGCACAGTTGATTAGCAGATCTGACCCATAATTAGAAAAGCCAGATGAAGCCAGTTGCATTTGCTCCTTTTCCCTTGAGGAACATTTGCCTAATCAATCAATCAGAATAGAGCTGGAAGGGACTTTGGAGGTCTTCCAGTCCAACCCCCCTACTATTCCTTGCTGCCGCGTGCAAGGAAACAAAGGAAACTTTTTTGGAGGGGAAAAAGGTCAATCAATCAATTCCAACTTCTTGTGAAAGATCACGAAGTTGGAATTGATTGATTGACCTTTCCCCCCCCAAAAAAACCCCTTCCTTTATTTCCTTGCACGCGGCGGCGGATTGCGAAGGAGAAACGGTATGGGGCTGGAAGTCAGGTAAGGAAAGAAAGACAATTTCTGGCGGGAGCAAAGATTTTTTTCCTTACCTGCCCCACTTGTTCCAAGGCCGCTTTCCACTCAGACACGTTGCTCTTGCCAATGGCCCAACCGCCCACTTTAGTGCCTTATCTCCCTGAGCCTCCGACGCTCCACCTTCTGTTCTGGTGGCTCTGTAGGCAGAGCTGCGAAGTTCTCTTCTCTGTCAGAAGAAGCTCTCCCTACAGAGCCACAAAAGCTGTAGCTGAATGGACAGGGGAGGAGGAAACCTGCCCCACTTTTTCCATGGCCGCTTTCAGCCGACCCGCATTGCAGCAGCATTGGGCGCAATACACGAGGCGGCAAACAGCCGCGTCACACCAAAACCAGTTGTTTGCCACCTCTTGCCCAATACCGCTACTATGAGGCCACAGAACAAGCCAAGCGGCGGTAAGAAAGCGGTATAATGGTTCCTTACTTCCGTTTAGCTTGTTTCGCGGCCTCATGGCAGTGGCATTGGGTGTGACGCGCAAGGTGGCAAATAGCCACATCACGTCAAAACTGAGGGGCCGGCAGGCTGTGGCTGCTGATGGACACAGTTGGCTTCCATGCACTCACTGTGTGCAGGGGCCGATGATGTCAGGCAACAGCCACCCCGGCCCCTGCCTTGCCTCGCCTTACCCCGCAGGACGAGCCTCCTGCCCACTGTCCCACCCACCAGAGACCCCCTGGATCTTCCCCAACCCTGCCTGGCCCCCACAGGCAGCCCTCCTCACAAGCAACATTGAGGTGGCCACGCCCACCCCATCCACACCCACCCAGTGTTTAAAAATAAGTGGAAAAACACAACAGAAAAAATAGAAATAATGTATAAAGTATATTATATGGCTTCAATAATAAATAGTTACAGTTCTACATATTATTAATGCAAACATTATGCAAGTACATATGTATTTATTTCTAATACACTTTTTATAATTATCATTCTTTTTAGCCTTAATTGTATCAAAAATAGTCAATAAGCAAGAAAAGTTTAGTCAAAAGCTGAGGTTTTTTCCTCTCCCACAGTTAGTTAGCTATGCCACATGAACCTTTCCTTATTTTTCCTAAAGTTGTTAAAAGCAGAATTAATTATGAAAAAAATCAAGCAGAGTTGCATATTGCATAATTGGACATAACATTTCAAAAAAGAAAGGTTCTTTTATATTCAAGAATTTTATCATATATTTGTGTCACCTCTTCTTCTGCAGCTTCCAATGGCATTTCATAAAGACAGTCAATTTTTTGAAGGAGGAAAAAGTCAAAATGAAGCCTCTCCTGGACAGTGGGGTAGAGCATGGTAAGAAAATCTGCCATGTAGTGACTATAGCTGAAAAATACCTGTGCTTACAAAGAACTGTGTGGGCTGGTTCTGTAAAATAGGCAGCTACTGCTGAATTTTAGGGGCATTTGTTTAACATCCAAAGGAGGAAGGGGTGTCATAGAGTATTCTTTGAAATATTTATATGTTGGTTTTCTGTTGACACATCCAGAGTAGTTCATGAAACTGGCTTGTTTCAGCAAATACTATAATTGTTAAGGGCAACAACACACTAAAATTGTACAAATTATAATTCTGTTCAGAGTCAATCATTGACAGTAGGGTTTTGAGGTTTCTTTTTTTGGAGGGTGAGTAACAATCTCTATGTGTCTTTTTCAGGAACCGACTAACCAAAAGAAACTATTCACAGTAGAAAGATGAGAAGAGAACAGGGAAATACCAGATGATAAAACATTACAGTACACTAGTCATGGTAACGAGAAACTCACTCGGTCGGTAGGTCAACGAATGCCCTTTTCAAGTGGAGAATCTATAGACCCTGTTCTGTGGGAGAAAGAGAACCTTTTAAGACTAGGAAATGTTTTCTTGGGTAATATTCCAGGTACGTGTCATGAAGCTTCTCTGTTGGAATCCAGTTATTTGGATCAAAATTAAGATTGTTTTTAAAACTGCATTCTAAAATTGGAGCCCTACATGTGAAAATGTGGCAATATCAGTTACTAGCAATATTGTGTTTGGGTGTTGCTGGGAATAATGCTAACAACTAATATCCCTGGTTTTCTTTTGAAACATTTTTTTGTCTTGCTCTTTTTTATGTTTCCAACACTTCCAAAAGATTATGACTGACAGAAGAAAATGAGAGACTTGTGGTCTTCCAGAAGTTATGAAACTGAACTTCCAAAACCCATTGCCATTGGCTAGGCTTATGGACTATGCCAGGGGTTGTTATTTCAACCATATTTGCAGAGCAATAGGTTCCTCACCCAGAGCTAGATGGTGATTTGAAATAAACTAACACAGGCTCACCTTCAATCTTTAGTTGTTATTTCTACATTATTTCTATATGAATATTTGACCATGGTATTGGCAGCTAGAAATTAAATGTTTTCTACAATTTCTATGTCCCCAAATGCGTTTTACTAAAATATTCACAGTTCCATATTTATATTTCAGGTACATTTTTAAACAGCTACACTATTATGAGAGGTTGGGATATGAGTAAATGTCCGTTATGAAAAAATAATTATATGATCAATCCATAATTTATCCTCCTTCAAATATACCATTGTACAATTTTAATTCACTTGTAAAGATATTGGCTTATACGTTCATTCCGTTACAGGGATTTTTGTTTATGATTCCTGACTTTTGTCATAAATTTATTCCTGGTTTTCGAGGAGGAATACAAGAAGGTGCCATTTCACCTGCTGGTAAGACCATTTTTATTAATAATAATAAATAGTAATATAAATGAAGAAAAAAGGATGCCTCAAAACAATTATCTGCTTATTCAGCATGTTTCTAATTAAATGATACAATCACTGATCCCTACCATATGCTGGCTTACATTTCCCTCTCACGCTCAGTTGGTCCTAGAAATCCTTTTGTCTTAAAAATAACATTTTTTTTCTTGCTGCCTGTTACACTTGGAGATATGTAATGTTGCTTTTCTCTGTTTTGAAAGGCCTTGGACCTTGCTGATATATAATCACACCCACCCACATTCATTGCTTGTAACTTGTGTCTATCTTCTTCAAAGCCTCTGGGGCAGGGCTGAGCAATTAATTTTTCCAAGCGGTCACATGAGAAACTGGGACTCTTGTGGAGGGCCAGACCAATAGGACTGTGAACGGGTGTAAACATGCACTCATGGCACATATATAAAGTGGAAAAAAGAGCTGTTAGCTTCAAAATAAAAGCAATGCAGTTTTATTGTATGCATGGTAAACACTTATTTACATTTGATTTCTAATTTCCAATTGATCTCATGCAAGCTGGACAGGGACAGCCAAAGGGCCAAATGTGGCCTGGTGGGCATAAATGCCCAGGTTTACTCTGGAGGGATGAGTCCTCTCCCCCTGCCTCCAACAAGAAGTCATGAACTGTGGCGGCACAGTGGTTAGAATGAAATATTGCAGGCTAATTCTGCCAACTGCCAGCAGTTCAGTCTTGACCAGCTCAAGGTTGACTCAGCCTTCCATCCTTCCGAGGTTGATAAAATGAGGACCCAGATTATTGGGGCCAATATGCTGACTCTCTAAACCGCTTAGAGAGGGATGTAAAACACTGTGAAGCGGTATATACTGTAAGTCTATTCCTACGACTATTACTGAGACTGTACACAATAAAACTGCTGATAATTAAGCAGAGAACTGCTCGCTTCTTCCTATAAAGAGGTTTTTCTTTGGGAATTGATGGATATAGAGCTGGAAAAAATCATGAAAATTATATATCAACTGCAACAAGATTATTTTATACACAAAGATAGAAAGATTTGGCATTATTCGATGGAAGAATGGTTAGTGGAGATGATGGAATTTGCTGAGATGGCTAAGTTGACTTCTTTGGTCAGAAAAAGACAATATCAACATTTATTGCTTACTGGAAACTCTTTAGACTGTTTGCATGAAACAAAAAAAATGTGATTCATGGTTTTATTATATAAAATTTTATTTAGCTTTATCATTGATCCTTAAGTGCTTAAATTTATAATTATTTTTTTTTCTTCATAAGCATAGACTCATCAGATGGCTTTTCAAACTTGTCATTCCAAAGACCTCTAACGCCCTTAAGATAATTAACTAGGCAATTTTCAAAAGTGAATAGAAGCATGGTTAGCGAGTATGTCCTTTAAAAGGCTCCTCCATGGTTAAGAACTTGATGATTGATCCCTTCGTCTCCCAGCACCCAAACCCAGAGGCAACAGCTGTCCTTTGGTCTCCCCGTAAGGAGCTACTGTGTGGAGCACACATGGTTGATCTCCTGTACTCTCCTTGTTCAGAGAGGTTCTAAAGAATCAATCTACTCACTGGTTCCTCGGTCTTTGCCGCAGTTGTGTTTAGCTCATCATGCCTTCCCCAGAAAGCTTATTGTTTTCTGTTTCTGTTGTCTGTCATCCAGAGTTCTTTTGGAATTGGACAGCCTCTGAATCATCGTCATCCTCTGTTTCCTTTCAGGTGTAGTACTCAAATATGAGATTAACGGACTACAAGCCTGGTTGATAACGCATGCCCTCTGGTTTGCAAATGTTTACTACTTCCAGTGGTTCTCGCCCACCATCATTTTTGACAACTGGATTCCAATCTTGTGGTGTGCAAATATTCTGGGCTATTTAATGTCCATATTTGTTTGGTTAAAAGCCTACTTCTTCCCTTCTAATGCAAAGGACTGGTATGTTGATATTATTTATAATTTATATTAGTATAAATGTGATGATAATTTGATGAGGACTGAATGTTTTTTCTGATCATTAAAGTGTCTCGAAAGAAACAGTAATTCAGTCACTCTTAAAGAAGATATGCCTGGAACTATTGTCTTATTTCCAGTATCCTCTTCTTGAGCAAGGTTCTTGAGAAGGTGATGACTTTTCAGCTTTATGCATTCTCGAAGAATATGAATTATGTGCACCCATTCCACTTTGATACCATTCTAGTTTTGACATTGAAACTCTTTTGTTCTGACAGATGATATGCTCTGGAGAAGTGCAATTTTGTTGGTACAAATCCTAGATATCTTGGCAGCTTTTGATACCATTGGTCATAAAGTGGGTCACCCATGTCAATTATTTGCATCAGACTAATCAGTAATGATGTCCATTTTGTTTGTGAGTGTTCTTGCAATTTCATTTGGTTTTCAAATTGATGTACAAGAAACTTTTGTTTAATACTCTTAATATTCTATTTTAGCAAATTCACTGGCAATTTCTTCTATAACTTCATGATGGGAATTGAATTTAATCCACGCTTGGGAAAGTGGTTTGATTTCAAATTGTTTTTTAATGGCCGACCTGGAATTTTAGGATGGACTTTGATTAATTTATCCTATGCTGCAAAACAACAGGAATTGTATGGACAAGTCACTAATTCTATGCTACTTCTCAATGTCCTACAGGTAAACATTAACATGTGCATTAATGTTAAATGCTATCAATAACAATTTTCCCCAATTAATTTCCTCAGGTGATACATCATATGTTTGTGTGTGTATGTGTGTGTGTGTGTACACAAAAATATAGACATGTATGAACTACATGCACACACCACTTTTACATCTGTCTGCAATTTAATCAGTCTCTTAACTCTTTCAGGATGACTGTAGTTCCACAAAATTCTTCCTTATATCAGTACCACCATTTACAACCTATTCTTCACAAAATAATGACCACAAAATTATTGGAATTGCAAAATATCTCAATATGCTGTTGATTTCAACCTCAAAATCTCATAGGTTCTCATATGAGAATAGCAAAATCTCATGTGAGTGTTCACAAAACAATATTCTTGCATAAGATTTCAGAGTGAGATTGTCAAACCGTCATGTCTTGGCGCGGCACAAACCAGCCAGCAAGCAGGAACGTTAGACATATGGTAGTTTAATCACTCCATGTAGATTAAAGTCAGCACTGGGAGGCGCTTGCTCCCAATGCCTTACATAGCATGTGTTCCGGCCCCACCCTTGTGGATACGCCCCGGCCCACCCGCCTCCCAAGCCACCATCCTAAGC